GGTGTGTGTGTGTGTGTGTGTGTGTGTGTGTGTGTGTGTGTGTGTGTGTGTGTGTGTAACCCTATTGTAACTTTTGAACAGCTCGACCGATTTCTTCACGGTTGGCGTCATCGAAAGGGCTTGACCAAACTTAAATTTTGAATACAATTTAGACCGATTCAAACCGGTAGATTTTGAGAAATCTCAAAAAAAATAAAAAAAAAAAATTTTCAAATGTAGTTTTTTTGGAATAACTTTTAAACGGCTATACCGATCGATTCCAATAACTAATCAGCTTTCAACATCAAAAAACCATGTCAATCGCCGCCAGCCTGGTCAAAATCGGTTGATTCGTTCGTGAGTTCTCATTGTCGAAAGAAAACCGAAAGAAGTGTTTTTTCAGAATTACTCCGAAATTTCGGGAACAGCAAATGCATCCTATTCTAAAAACAAATGATTAAACTTTTGTAATTCTGATTTTAAAATGTTACTCTTATAACGCCTCTCATAGTTTCAATTAGAGGAGGCGGTGAGAAATTGTTGTTTCCAATTTGTTTGTGTGCTTTTTTTTTTTGTAATGTATACTATTACTTTTTGATTTTTTTTTATTACAAAGCTGTTGAAATATAGACTGACGGCTCAAATATTCGATATGCACTAGTAAGTGATAGTAATGAGCAAAAATATTTTTATATTAATAGCGATGAATTTAACTCTAGAAATTCGGATTTAAAAATTTAATTTTCTTAAACTCAGTCATACTAACTTTCAATTAGCGGAAGTTGTGAGAAATTGTTGTTTTCAAGTTATTTGTGCCTTTTTAATTTTTTTTTGGATTCAAGTATTACGTTTTGATTTAAAAATTAGCATGACTTTTTAATTTTCTTACTACTCACTTGCTGAAATATCAAGTGATGGTTTAATATCTAATATTTATTAGTAAACGATAGTGATGAACAAATAAAATTTTATTTTAGATACAAAGAATGATATTTTAGAAATTCCGATCTTGAAGTTAAATTTTTTCAACGCCACTTACCATTTTAATTAGGGCAGACGTTGCGACATTGTTGTTTTGAACTTGTTAATGTCTCCTTTTTTTTTTTTTTTTTTTTTTAAATTCAAGTTTAACGTTTCGATTTCCTAATTATAAAATTCTGAAAATACCTGCTACGAAATGATGATTATAAAATAATTAATTTTTTTTTTTAAAAAACAAGACCATTTAGTTTTTAAAATTTATATTTATTTATTTTACCTCCGTCACGCTACTCGAATACCATTCGAGGAGGCGATAAGAGATTTTTGTCAACAAGTAATTTTCGTGTCTCTATTTATGAGTTTTTCTGTCTTTCATTCTATGAGTAGAGAAATTGATTTATATTAATCTGTTAACAATCAACTTTTCATTTATTCATCAGCTGCATGGAGTAATCGCAATACTCGTCATGAACCATACCCTAGGCACCCACCGCGGAATGCCCTTCGGCGATTGCAATGTCCAACATATCGCCAGAATGATGAGGCGGGACCATCAACGTCTTCGGTGAATGAAGCAGTTGACGATGTTGGAAACGCAAATATAACTTATACGGATATGCTGAATGGTGAATAACTTTAAATTAGAAATTTTGTTCTTAATTATAGAATTAGTATTAGGGTAACAGACCCTATTAGTGGCGAGGATTTCATGACTGACACTTTCTTTGATTTTGATACTTATTCAATTAATGAAATCATTACTTTTAATAATGCATATATTATTTTTAATCTTTAAGACCTTAAGATCAAAAAAATCTTGAATTCTCATTGCAAGTAGAATATTTTTTCATTGAAAGAAAAAGTGCCACTAATAGAGGTTAAAGTTTCACTAATGGGGTCTTTTACCTTATTACTTTTATTTTAAATTTATTTTTTAGATTCGCTAAGTCACCCAAGTGGCAGTCAACATGGTAACATACCGTCATTGAGACTGCATCAAGTTCCCCGAACCCGATTCCTTGCAAGGCGCGAAGTTCAGGATAATTTTAATGCACTCATGGCGGGGCCATCAAGTCAACAGGCATTGACTAATAATCAGACAAGACGTCGCCAGAGCTATTCCGTTACGGAACAGTTCGAAGAGGAACCGTCAACCACATCAGCTCGTCACACATCTGATAATTTTGCTCGTAGGAATGTGACAAATGAATCTCAATTAGACGATGATCATGACACTCTAAGTGTATCATCAAACTTAAGTGAATTTTTAGATGGTGAGTTAATTTGACAGTTGTACATTTGTAATTACAAAAAAGATTAGGAGCTTGCCAGTTTATAAGCTTTATAAGTTTCTACATGCAGATTTTATATCTAATTTATTATGATACGTATATTTTTAAGTTATTGAGAAGAAGTAGTCTGAAATACAAAATGATATTTATAACATTTAGATTCCGAAGTCATCCCAAACCATGACAACCAGGAAGAAGATGAACAACCAGCAGTAAGCAATGAAATTATTGTACCTGCTGAGGATGATGACAATTTACAACAAGACGAGAATGATAAAATTGAAGATCCGATTGAAATCAATGAAAATGTCATACCAGATGAGATCGGTGAAAATGTGGAGAACAATGAAAATAATCTACTTGTTGAGAATGATGAAAATGTGCCTCCACCTGAAAACCAAAGAGATACAGAATCACACGGAATGAGGAACCCGGCTTGCGGGAATTTCGGACAACAAAATGCGAGCCAATGCTGCATATTTTACGAAGAAGCGAGTATTGCAGCATTCAATGAATGCGGCCACATGTGCGTAGGGCTAAATTGCTACAATACTAGGCTTGCGGACATCATAAGAGAATCTTGTCCTATTTGTCGTAAGAAGTCGAGCAAACTTATAAAAATTTACCCATCTTAAATTTTTAATTGTCATTATCAGTTTAACATTTTCGTTTTAAACGCCACTAATAATTCGAGGAGGCGGTAAGAAATAATTGTTAACAAGTATTTTGCATGTCTCTTTTTATCATTACTTAACAATAATACTTTAAAATTTTTTTAATTAGTATTTTAAAATTAGTAGTGTGTTTTGATTTAAAATTATTATGACTTTTTGATTTTCTATATACTAAATTGTTGAAATATCAACTGACGGTTTAATATTCAATATTCATTACTAAATGACAGTGATGAACAATTACATTTTTATTTCAACGACAAAGGATTATATTTTAAAAATTTCAATTATAGAATTTCAGTTTCATAACACCACTCACGATTTCAATTTGAGGAGGTGGTGAAAAATTGTTTTTTTTTTAACTTGTTTCTTTTTATTTTTTAAATTAAAGTGTAACTTTTTGATTTCTTATTTCTATTAAGTGAACGTAATGACAAAATGCATTTTTAGTTTAATAAGAAAAAATTTAATTTTAGAAATTACGATTTTAAAATTTAATTTTTAAAATGCCACTTATGCTTTGACTTAGAGGAGGCGGTAAAAAATGGTTAATTTCAAATTGTTCTTGTATGTGTGTGTGTTTTTTTTTTAAGTAAAGTATTACTTTATGATTTTTTAATTACGAAGGTGTTGAAATATCAACTGATAGTTTAATATTTAATATTAATTACTCAATGATAGTTATAAGTATATAAAATGTTATTTAAAAAAAAAAGAATGACATTTAAAAAATTCTGATCTTAAAATTAAATTTGTAAAACGCCACGTATAGTTTCACTGAGCGTGTTCAGCCGAACTAAGTCCTGAGTAAACTTAGTAAGTTAGTTAGAGTAAGAGAAAGTTTGCCCTAACCGTCTAAGTACAGTGTGTTTTCCGCCTGGACACACTTACTACTTTGTGATAGTTATAAGACTCATAACCTATATATTTATGCTCTATTTTGTATGTTGATGACATTATTTATTATTGTAATCAGAGGAATATAATGGATAATAAAAATAATATTTTAATGGACGAAGTTCTTTATGATCCCTTTGAAGATATTAATAATTTAGTTCATCAATTTCCATTAAACGGTAAGTACCCGAGAAAAAATGTTTCTATATAATCATATATAATTGTATATGATCATATATGATTATATATGGAATCACATATATAATTATATAGAATTATATATAATCATATATAATTATATAAGACTATATATAGAGCAATATACAGCCAAGCAAGATTATATATAATCATACATAATTATATATAATCATACATGATTATACAGGGTGTCCCAGAAGTCACGCACTTCCTTGTAGGGATCGAAAGAGGAAATTATTCTGAGACGAAAAGTCCTCAGCCATTTTTTAATCAGACGCATAGATAATTAATTATTAATTAATGAAAGTATATATAATTATATATGCTTATCTATAATTAACACATAAATTTTTTGATTGAAACAAAAAATTTTTTTTTGGTAATCACAAAAAGTGTAAAATGATGTTTATAATTACGTTTAAATAATTCTGAAATACAAAATTTGTCACATTTCCTATGAGATGTTTTGTCTGCTCTGCTACTACCTAATAGTGAAATCATTATTTATTTTATTATTTAAATAAGTGTTATATTATAATGAAATTCGGTAAGATAAATAAATTATGAATTATGACTATCCAAATATATTATAAAATCAATTTTTATATTATATTTATGATAAACTCATATGATACATTAAGTAGATCATAGAATCATTATTGTCTAAGATAGCAGCACAGCAGACAGAAACTTCAAGACGCACGGAGATCACCAAAGTTAAGCAGCATTGAGTAGGATTAATAGTTGGATGGGTGACCGCTGATGTTATAGCCATAAAATTAGATCTAGATATTTTTTTGCATTTTGATCGGTTACACAGAATTGCGTAGGACCATATTAAATACTCTATCCATAAAATTAACCCAATAATTAATTAGATGTAATAAATCTATAATTAAATATTGTTATATATAATTATATATAATTAGATATGATTATATTTGGCCATTTTTCATATATAATCATATATAACCAATTTATATATAAATATATATAATTATATATAAATATTTTTTCTCGGGTAAAAAAAACTTGTTTAAGTGAGATGAAAATTAAATTAGCTGACATCTAAGAATTCTAAGAATTTTTTTTTATTGAAAAATAATTTTTACATTATTAAAACAAAAATTTTCACATGTCGAAAATTTTAAAAATTATCCGTGGAGTTTTTTAAAAATAGTTTTTTAGTTCTAATTTATAATTTAAAAAGAATATCAAAAATTTTTGTGTCGGCTAACTTAATTTTCATTTAAGTGAGTGACACTGAAATTGACAGACCTGATGATAACTTAGAGTTTTTTTAACAATTGAAAGAAATGAAACATAGCAGATAACAGTTAATTTTAATAATAATAAATGTAGCATATGGTTCTTAGAACGAATAAAAAGTATTTTTTATTTCTTTGTAGGCTTTAATAACATTATGAACGAAGCGGAAGCCTTAATCTTGGAGTTTGCCGGGAATGGTATTGAAATGCATCCACGTAATGATGCCCCAGCTAGAATATTAAATTATTATGAAGAAGTTGTACCAAATTATACCGATTACGAATTTTATTCTCACTTTCGGATGTCACGAGAATCTGTAGAGGTAAGCAAAAAATTATGCTAGTCTGAATTTAAGGTTTATCACTTGTAATTTGTTCATAGGAGCTAGAGAATGTCATTCGGCCACATATTCCTAACATTGATGACGATGATCATGATGATAATGATGATATTAATCTTATTCCCTTGAAAAAAAAAATTTTATTAACAATTTGGATTTTAGCTACTCCTGATAGTTATCGCTCAGTTGCTGATAGATTTGGATTACCTAAGTCTACGGCTCACTTGATATTTCAAGTAATTATCGACATAGTGACTAATCTCTTGCCCCAGTTCGTTCGTTGGCCTGATGCAAATGGATGCGAAGTTATTGAAGCTGTAAGTATTAATCATCGTGTTATAGACCTAATGATTCCTAACTGCATGGTTTTTAGGGCTTTCTTTCGAAGCCACAGGGGTTTCCCGGAATTATTGGAGCAATTGATGGATGTCATATTGAAATTTTGCAACCACCAGGTAACGCTAACGATTATTATAATCGAAAAGAGAAACATTCCATAATATTACAAGGTATTATGAGTATTTAAATATATATAAATCTATGTTAACATAAAACGTTAAGATGGAGCATCTATGATATCTTTCATATCTCACCGAATATTTATAAACTATTTTATATCATATTCTACAGGTACATGTGATGATAAGGGAAAATTCATAGACGTTCTAATTGGAAGACCAGGGAGAGCACACGATGCGTCTGTTTTTAGATCTTCTACTTTATTCACCCGACTAACAGATGCTGAAAATCCCCTATTACAGCCTAACCAGCATATACTAGGTGATGCTGCGTATCCATTAATGATAAATCTTTTAACGCCTTTTAAAGACAATGGTCATCTCACTAGACGTCAAGTCAATTATAATATCAAACATGCGTCATCTCGATCAATAATCGAGCGTGCGTTTGGGTTATTAAAAGGCAAATTTCGTAGACTACAATACTTAAACGTTAAGTCTGTTGAAATGGCCATCAAAATGGTTTCTGCAGCATGTACTTTGCACAATTTCATTTTAATTCAAGGAGATGTAAATGTTGGAAACAATTTTCCAGGCCAAAATATTAATAATAATAATATTGATAACAATGATGCAATGGAAATTGATGTAAATGTAGAAGAGGAAAATGAAAATGCCGATGCGAGTGCAAAGCGAAATGACATCATGGATTCCATGTAAGTTACAGAAGATTAATAGTTGGGCGATTCTCTTTAAGGACGTCTTAAATCTGTACAAAATTCTCGACCCAATTCTGATTTTATTACAAAAAAAAATTAACAAGGGCTATAAATGTATCAGCTTAATAATAATAAAGAAACATCCCATTTAATTGATGTTTTTTCGTTATTTGTATATCTTTTACCACATAATATGACAGGGGATTTTTTTTTATCAAATTGAGAAAAATCAAGCAAACTATTTCAATATATCCAACTTTTCAAGTTCTCAGTGAATGAAAACATTAATTAGCATAATATTAAGACTTATGGGTCCAATTTTATAAATAAAAATAGTTGCCAGGGGTCTGAGTTTTAAAGTGGCCCAGAGACATATTTCCAGCACAAACGGTGCTTGTCACTAAATAAAGTGGCGATAAGGCGCTAACAGCCCTATGGTTATTAACTCAAGGCTAGTTAGATCCTTATAAACCTTACAAAAGGTAGAATAACACACTGGGTTTTTTTTTTGGCTTTGAACTTCTGGCAAGGGACTGTTCTTAAAATGCCTGGGACAAACTTTGGTTTAATGAATTTAATAAAACAAATTAATTTTCGGTACTTTTTATTGAAGAAGATTGTTAATTAACTAATTGAGTTTATAAACATTATGGACCAAATTATATATTATGGACGAATAACTTAAAATTTAATCTTAAAGCTTAATTTTGGGAATGGAACAGCCCAGGGGACTTTTATATCGGTGTTTTATGAATTTTTAGCAAAAAAACCAAAATTTATTTCATATTAGTTTTCAATGCTCCAAATAAAAATTATATTTGAAATATATTAGAATTAAAATATTATAGAAATTATATATGCTCCAAATGTTTTTCTACTTTCATAATAAATTTTTTTAGTAACAAGATAGCAATTTTTCTAATAAAAAAATGTCTGGGGCAGCAAAAAACATACTTACATAGAATCACCTAGTTGTATTATTGAATCTGTTGGGGGAAAAAAATTGTAAAGAATAAAATAATACTTTTTTCTTTTTTTAACAAATCTTTTCTTTATTTCATGCATTAAATATCTTAGTATGATAAACGAAAGTTACTATTTTTATTCATATAATATTCATATTCATATCGTATTCATATAATATTAATATCACAATTCACAAATTATAAACTATTCATCACATCTTTATCAAATAAGTTTGTACCATTTGCTATTCATTTCATTTTAAAATATATATTACTCAACGAATACTATTAACTACTTAACAGTCTTTTGAAAACCCTAAGTGTAGATTATAAAGATACTGAAACATTATTATTGTACAAATTTAGAATTAGAAATTTAACATAGAATAGAACTTGACATCTGGATAAAATAATTAGTGAATTTCAAAATGCTTATATCCTATTTTTTAATTTATAAGACTAGCAATTATACTAAAATCTTTTGGCAAATTTCAGTCTAGATCAATATTATACTTAATTTAAATTCGTAATTTAATATCACATGGAATGTAAGATATTAGAAAATTAAAAGTATACTTCATTTTTGAAATTCAAGTATTTGTTTTAACAGCTGATTACGTTGTTTATAGGCCTCCGTCAAATCGTTCATTTTTTGTGTCCAAATTGAAAGATTTTCTTTTTGAAGATTTTGGCATTGTTCAAGAGTGTCTTTTAATCCTCGCATAACTTCTATCTTATCAGAGTCTAGGTCCAGCTGTTTTTGTCTCTGCTGATAAATATTTTTTCCTCTAGCAGATTTATAACATTTTTGTGATATTTTATCAGAATCATCGCCAGAATGAACTACATTTGAACTTGAAGCTGAAGCCTGACTACTAGATGATGAACCGCACCCATTCTCTCTGCTGCAATAAATAATTAACTTAAAAATAATACGAGTTAGAATATCAACAAAAAAATAATAAATTTAATTATTTTAGTACATACTTAGACGAAGAATTTGATAAGTTCAGGACTTCATCGCTTACGTCTGCAGGCATACTTGTGACTACATCATGCCGAAAATTAATAGACAGATCATTATGAAAAATTTCATCCATAGATTTCAACCATACCCATGGTTTACGGGCAGCTCCAGTCGTCTTTTTGGAATTATTTTTTTTTATTTTAGCATAAGTGGTCTTCATATTACCAAATTTTTTTGATAAAGCATCCGCAGAAAATATCAGATTTTGTTTTTCAAATTCGGCTGATATTTCACGCCACAAAGTAATTTTCTTCATCTTGGGGCTTCTAAATTTATTCTTTCGAATTAAATACTCATGCAGCAATAGTTTTATAGAAGCATTATCCCATATTGAGCCATCATCCTTATCATTCTTATCTATAAAACCATTCACAGAATAAATACTAATTAATATTGATAAACTAATAAATATAAGACTTAGCTATGAATCACAAATATATACAAAACCTTTTTCGACAACCTCTTCAGTGTCATTAAAATCTTCATATTGATTGGGATTTGAACTTTCTTCTTCATTAACATAAACGTTGTCATCGAATACTTGGTCATTAACATGAACATCTTCATCGAGTACTTGGTTTTCTACCATTTCTTTTAAATAAGACGTGGCGTAATTCCAATCTACATATTAAATGTTAAATTAATATAATTAATCTTTGTATATATCTTATAAAAATATATGAGTATGAATTTAGGAAAGACAAAACATGTTTCTGGCTTAAATTTTAATGTGCATTTTAAAAATTTTCAAGGTTTTTTTTTTATTTTTCAAAAATATTAATGCCTCCAGATTTCATAGTTGCACAAATATTTTATTTATTTATTTAAAAAACTCTACATATCTTTTTATAACCTCACTTTAGCTTACCTGTAATCATTTTATTATGAAATTCTTTAGTTCCAGATATTTCATAAATTAAATCATTATATTCGTAGTGCCTACTGTAAAAATGAGACTCGTCCATTTTTTAAAGTTCAATTTTACACAAAAATAAATATTTTTGACTCACAAATCGTATTATTTTTCCTTTCTTACTTATTTCTTGTTGATAACGTTTACGTGAGTATACTAAGTAAAATGGCGGCGAGGAAAAAGTTCCTTAGTATCCGTAAAGTGTCCAGGCCGAAAACTTAGCTTAGTGCACTTACTAACTTACTAAGTTTACTCAGGACTTAGTTCGGCTGAACACGCTCACTCAGAGGAGGCGACGGAAAATTGTTGTTTCCAACTTTTTAATGTCTTATGTTTTAAAAACATTCAAGGATATCTTTAAAACTTTTTAGTTACAAAATTTTCAGAATACCTGTAACAAAATGATGATTAAAATATAACATTTTTAATTTAAAAAAAAAATTCTATTTTGTTTTCGAAATTTAAATTTAATTATTACACTTTTATTACGCGACTCGAATACCATTCAGGGAGGCGGTAAAAGGTTTTTGTTATCAAGTTACTTGCATGTCTCTTTTTATTTTTACTTCGGAACAATATTTTAAAATTTTTTGATCATAAAATTTGCAAAAAAAAACTGTTATGGCACTAAGCAATAAGTTAAGTAGATAATGAAACTTGAGGTTTAAAATTTATTTGTGTCTGTTATAATTTTCAAATTAATATAACTTATTGATTTAAAAATCAGTAAAATTTTTCGATATTTTTATTATAAAATTCTTGAAACATCAATTGACGGTTCAATATTTAATACTCATTACTAAATAATCGTGATGATGAAATACATTTTTATTTTAGAAACAAATAATAAAACTTCAGAAATTCAGATCTAACAATTTAGCTTTTCTACCGCCACCCGTAGCTTCAATTAGAGAAGGCTGTGAACAATTGTCGTTCCCAACTTATTAGTGTCTCTTTTTTTTCATTTTAAGTTCAAGTTTAATTTCTTGATTTATTGATTACAATATAATGATTAAATATAACGTTTCACAAAAATGTTCATTTAGTTTATGAAATTAAAATTTATTTATTGTAATTTCGTAACGCTACTCGAGGGGGTACCATTAAGTACCATTCGAGGAGGCGGTAAAAGATTCTTCTTAACGAGTTATATATTTGCGTGTATCTTTTTATGATTTCAAAAAATTTTCATTTCATACGTAGAGAAGTTGATTTACATGAATCTGCTCACAATCAACTTTTCATTTATTTATCAGCTTCATGCAATAACAGCAATACTCATTATGAACCATACCCCAGGCAGCCACGGCGAAATGCCCTTGCCCAATTGCAGTGTCAACATATAGCCAGAGTTACGTACTCGAGGCGGGACCATCCATTCGGTGCATCAGGCCGTCGACGATGTTGAAAACGCTGATACAAATTATACAGGTACATTATTGGTTAATAGCTTAAAAATTGTAAATTTTGTTCTTATTCATAGAATTTGTGCCTTTTTTTTTTCAATTAATTTTTTAGATACGCTAAGTCACCCTAGTTGCAGTCAACACGATTTTATACTGTTATTAAGACTGCGTCCAGTTTCTCGAACGAGATTCCTTGCATGACGGCAAGTTCGGAATGATGTTGATGCTCTTGCGGCAGAGCCATCAAGCTAACAGACATTGACTTATTAATCGACGATACGTCACCAGAGGTATACCGTAACGGAACACCTCGAGGCAGAACCGTCAACTATATCAGCTCATCACACATCTGATAATTTTGGCCGTAGGAATGTGACAACCCTCAATGTGACGATGATCATGACACTCTAAGCGTATCACCGAGCTTCAGTGAATTTTTAAATGGTGAGTTAAATTAACAGTTGTACATTTGTAATTATAAGAAAAGATTTTGAGCTTGCTAGTATATAAGCATAATAAGCTTGCAGTTTTGAAGCTTGATAAGTTTCTACACAATGAAAAAATTTTCAACAAATTTGACACAACTACTTGTGCTACTGACAGTTTTCACACGGCAATTACACATCTTTACTCCAGATTACTCAGTTCTGCGACATACTGTACTCAACTCAAAAAATTGAATAACTTTAAAAAAAATAAACTTTACTCAATTCTTTCACTACTCGATACGAACTTCACTCAACGCTAAATTTACCTAGTACCGACGTTATTTAATAAAGTCTTTACTTAAAAGTATTTTATGAGTGATGGCGCGCTTTTAAAAATTTCTATTCAAAATTTTTTTATTTAATAATATTTTATTCGGCAAAAACAAAACTGTACTCAAAATTTCTCAGCTCTGTGCAATTTGTATTCCAATAAAGTAATTTAATAAATTAAAATAAAAATTTTTACTATATATAGATGCATAAATTATATAGAATTGAGTAAAGTTGACATCGAATAAAGTTTGTAAAACAATACAATTATATTTTTTAAGAATAAAATTATTGAGTCAAGTTTTTTTCTTAATTTATTCGAAGTAAGCATATTATTAAACAAAAAAAATGGAATAGAGATTCTTAAAAGCGTGCCATCAATTATAAAATCCTATTTAGTAAAGATTACCTAGAATACAGTATGTTGCAGAATTGAGTAATCTGGAGTAAAGATGTGTAACTGCCTTTCACACAAACTAATGTTAATCTCACATTGTCGTGTGTTAAATCAACACATGAGAATGTTAAACTCAACAAACTTGACTGTAATATTCAACAAAAAAGTTTTTATTACGCTACTCTTATTTTGAACTAGAGGAGGCGGTGAGAAATTGTTGTTTCAAATTTGATAGTGTGAATCTTTTTATTTAAAAACAATCCATGCACAACTTTTTAATTTCTGAATTACAAAATTTTTAAAAAACTTACTACAAAATAATGATTATAAAATGATACGTTTTTATTTAAAAAAAAAAAGTTCATTCAGTTTATGAAATTTGAATTTATTTATTTTATTTGCGTAACGCCACTTGAATACCTTCGAGGAGGTGAAGAGATTTGTGTTATCAAGTTATTTGCGTGTCTCTTTTTATTTTTACTTCATAATAGAACTTTTCAATTTTTTTTATTATAAAATTTGTAAAAAAAAAATAACATCACTTTCAATGCGTTTGAATTTACTTTGTTATTATGGCAAAATACGAATGTGATAATGAGTGTTTGAATTTATCTAATTAATGTTTGTAATGACACTAAACAATAAGTTTAGTAGGCAGCGATGGACGTGTGGCTTAATGTATATAGAATAAGTGAAAGGAAATTTAGTATAGACCGGATAGCTCAAATGGTAGAGTAGCCGACATGTCTTCGGAAGGTTCTGGGTTCGAATCCCAGTCCGAGCTATCTAATAATTTTTTTCTCACATATTCTATACACTCACATTAAGAAGTTCCTCTCCATAATCCTTTCTCAATCCTTTCCTACCAATTATCCTGTTACGTGAACGTTGGAACGCTTCACGTAATAAATATCCGTAACTCCTATTCTTTCCCGCTTCACAACATTATTTATATTTGTTAAAAATGCTAACCGTAAGATGAACGGTGTGGCTTAATGTATATAGAATAAGTAAAAGGAAATTTAGTATAGACCGGATAGCTCAAATAGTAGAGTAGCCGACATGTCTTCGGAAAGTTCTGGGTTCGAATCCCAGTCCGAGCTATCTAATAAAATTTTTTCTCACATATTCTATACACTAACATTAAAAAGTTCCTCTCTACAATCCTTTCTCAATCCTTTCCTAACAATTATCCTGTTACGTGAATGTTGGAACGCTTCACGATTTTGCGTGTAATTTTAATAATTTCGTTAAAAATAATAATATTTATTTTATGAAGCGTTTTTATTATTAATTTTATTATTATAAAAATTGATATTATGTATATAATAAACAAATGAATAATAAGGTAAGAACAGTTGTACCGTGCTTGGGGAGCCGATATCAGTTGAGCGCTGCTGTTGAGTTCCCCCTCTACCGTCAGTCCGGGTAGCGAACGCGCTCACTTTATCGAAAATCCGCTCGCGTTCAACTCGCTATTATTTGACCCCAATTAAAAATTAATTTTTTTCAAAATAGCCAAATTTTTCGAAATTAAATTTTAGATTTTTTAGGATAGGTGCGAGTGCTGTAGTAAATTTAGTTTCGGAGATATTGGCTTTTAAAAAAAAAGCGGTTTTTTGATTTTTAAAAATCAAATTTTTGAGATAAAAATTTTGAAAAATATTAAAAATGTTCCTTTTATTACTAGAAATATGGGGAAAAAAGAAAAAATGAAATCGGTTGATTTTTCAGCTTGTTAGGTCCATTTGTTTATAAAACTTCGATTGTTAATAACTAATAAACTATCAGTCTGACGGGGATTTACCCAAAAGCAAAGTTGTAGATTTTTTTAAGCTCTACAAATTTTATGTGAAAACTTAACCTGCCAGATTAATAGTTTCAGAGATATTTAATTTTTAATTTACATTTTTTTTGTTTGCCTATTATTTATAAACAAATTGAGACCGCCATTAGATACTGGTTAGAATTTCATATTAACCTATTTAGTATCGAAATTTCAGGAAATTATAATTTTTCGATCAACTTCCAGTTGGCACAGCCAAACTGAGTAAAACTGACTAATTTCTGTGGGCTATACGCAATTCTCTATAAACAATTTAAATGCAAAAAAAAATGAACATATATATATATATAAAATATCCACCAAAAACATCGATGTTTTTTCTAAAAAAAATCGATTGTCGAAATATCGATACATATCGCGCATGCCTATTGTGTACGTGGCGCGCGTGGTGCTAGAGAGATGGTAAATTCTACCCATGATCTGGCTCTGGCTGCACTTTGTAACCGTCAGTCATTCGTGTGTTAGGCTAATACTGTTCGTATTGTGAACGTGATCATGGAGTTTGTACACGAAGTACAAAATCATAATATTGAAAGTTTTTTCGAGTATGTCTGCAAATCAAGTCGAAAAGAAAAGTGTGCCGCATCGGTAGTTATTGGAAAAAAAGTTTGTGTACCGTGCTTTCCTGACTTCTCTTCCATCTTT